AATGAATCTTCCTCAACAGACCGTGTGACGAATGACACAACCCCGAATCGCATCACGAACTCGAATCCCATTCACCTTCATATAACTTGAATCCTTTTTCCCATTTTTGTCAACACAAAAATCACCGTCATTTCTACCATTTTTTTCTCTCTCTAGCCTGTGCCAATAATACAGGGTGATTCAAGCGCCAAAATATACAAAAAAATGCGAATTTTTCCTCGGGAGGGATGAAAAATTTCGTGGATTCACAAAGTTGAGGCAGAAAGAGTTAGATTTTACAATTCTAAAAACAGAAAAATAAGCGGGAAATCACTGAAATTACTTCCAATTAATATTTATTTGACACCTGTTTCGTTGACTGATTGTCCCAATATTGAAATGAACCAAATTTCGCGTGAAAAATCTCCAAAAATTGACTGTCTTTCTTTTTTTTCGGATTTTGATTTTAATAAATTTCAAATGAGATTTGGGAGACAGTGTTTTTTTTATTTAATATCTGACAAAAATGTGGTGTTTCTTTTGCGTAAGAAGTTCCGTTTTCCGAAATTTTTGCGAAAAAAAAATTGTCAAGCCCATAATTTCGAAGCTGATTTTTATATTTCTTTGAGATTCAAGTGTGAGTTGAGATATTTTTCGAAAAACCGGGAAAGGTGAAGGAAAACAATTTTTCTTTTCAGGAAAAATTTCTGAGTGATTCATTTCCCTAATAAAAGAACAAGAAAAAATTTTGAAAATACATTTCAGTAGTTGTGAATTCATCACCCCGAATTTTTTCAGGCAACTGTGAATAAAATTCAAAAAGAGAATATTTTTAAGCATAAAAAAACCTACAGTTATATTTATAATCTCATTTTCCTATTTTATCACATTTTTATGAAAAATATCAAAATAGAAGACTAATAATTATAACCAGTGTAAGTGACACTATTAATATACTGTAATATAGGAAATTTGAAAAAAGAAACTCATCATTGCTTGAATATTATTGAAAGTTGCTTGGAAAATTTTGCATTTTCTAGTCCATACTAACTCTTGAATTACCCTGTATATGCATATTTTTCCCCGTGCAAAATATTCACAGGTAGCAGTTGAGCAAATTTTCCCACTTTTCTTGCCTTCCACTTGCTGTGTTTGTTGGCACTCCATTTTCTTGGATGAATGCTTCGCATTCTTCAAGTGTGCATTTTCCAGTTGCAATTTTTTCACCCAGGCTCTGATTGAAACTGGAGTACCTTTCCTGAAACACAAATGTTTGTTTCGTTTTCAAAAAATTAAAAACCTTTCATTCCCAAAAATGGTTTCACAAAAGACCCACTTTCTTGTAATTGAGGCGTTCAATTTCCGCGAATTCGGTTGGATTGAAAAAAATTCACCTAAAAAATGCCAATTTGGATGATTGTCATTTTAAAAAGCATCAAGTTTTCTACATTATAGTTACATTCACGACTACGTATTTTTTATACCTTTGATGACGACTGGAGAAAATTGCGAGAAATGAAAACAACACTGCTAGTGTGTGAAAGGAAATCAACCTTTCCGCTAAATTTTTTTCCCAATTTTCTGTTAATTTTCAATGCGAACAAGAGATTAAAAAAAAAAGAACCGAACACTTTCTCAAATTTTACTTCGAATTGCCAATAATTGCAAATTTTTTTTAGAAGTAATTCTTATATTCAAAAGCGGGAATTCTGGGGCTTCAATTCGAAAAAATTTCAAGTTTTGTAGCTGCTCTGAAATACTGTATTGCTGCACTTAATTCAGAACCGCGATCAGAAATCGAACACCTCAGTAATACTGTATATACAATCACGTTGATCTTCAAGCTGCAGTTGAAGAAAACAAAAAATTGCAAGAGAATAAACTCACTTGCAATCCTTTTTCGAAAAGTCCATCAGTTATGATCTTAGCCGCATTTACGAGTCCGCGAGCGAATGTGTCCATGGCTCCGATGTGGCCGATGAACATGTCAGCGACATCTGGTGATTCCCTGCGAACTTTGGCGTCAAAGTTTAGTCCGCCTGGCGCCAGACCGCGCTGCTCCAACACGGCTTTCATCACCAGTGTGGCGGCTTTAACATCAGTGGGGAACTGGTCAGTGTCCCAACCCAAATCGGGGCTTCCGGTGTTGGCATCAATGGAGCCCAAGAACCCTAACCTGTTTCGAGGTCAAAAGAAAATTATTTGACATCTATTGTAGATCAGTATAGCAGTTTGGAGAATTGATGCCAAAAATTATTGAAAAAAAATGCAACATTCTAGTTATGGAAAATTAGAGAAGACTTTTTCCTCAAGAGTACTGTAACATGTGTACAGGTGGTACCTTGCAATTTGACCTCCCACAAGTTGACTGTCCCGCAATTTGAAAGTCAAATTTGCTGGGAAGTTGACTTGCAATTTGACTTCTGCCCAAGAATATGACCTGCTTTGGTCACTTTTTCTATTTTTTGTGCTGATATTTCTCACTTTCACAAAGTATCTTGCAATTTGATCCTAGTCCAGCAACAAATTAGAGTCAAATTGCAAGGTATCACCTACCTCAAGTGGGGAAATTGGTGCACACTGGGGATTTGTTTGTAATTCTACACAGTGACCCTCCTGTGCACCTGAAATGTACCAAAGTTCTTCTGTTGCACACGCATATCCCCAATGTGCACCAATTGTGTGTTCACACCAGGATTACTCAGGGTCACATTTATAAACAAATAAGTTACACCAAGGTTACAGTTGGTGCATTTGTGAAATTGTGTGTTCACACCAGGATTACTCAGGGTCACATTTTTAAACAAATAAGTTACACCAAGGCTACAGTTGGTGCATTTGTGTGATGCTCCTGTTATTTCACATTTGAGCACCAAGTGTAACCCTGGAATGGTAGCAAAATTTCCTCTACAGGAGTGCACACTTGTAACCCCAGAATATCCCATATGCTCCAGTTGTTACCCTGGTGTGCACCTGCTGTGGGGTCACATCAAAAATAGCTCCCCACTTGGGTTCTTTTGATAGCTGTGATGAGAGAAAATATTAGTCCTCTTGTAACATCCAAGAAGAGAGATTGCTCATGGATTCATTCTTGCAGCCATAAATGGAGAATCTGTATTTTAAATTTAAATTTCTGCGTAATCACCTTTGCACTGATGATGTCTCCTGCATCTGGAAATCATTTTTTAAGAAGTTTAAAATCAGCAACCTTTGCTCCACAGGGTTAAAAATTATTTTACTTTCAAACTAAGTTATACTCATATACCACATCCACACCACTTTCCAACCTTGATTTTGCTGGAAAATGCACAAGTGGGATAACAACGTGTTTTTTGAAGGTCACAGTGAGGCTAAATTGCATTTTGGATACTTTTCCATTGACAAAATTGTCGGTGTGCTTGAAATTAAATGAATCTAATTCATTTCCAAAGCAGATAACCAGCAGCAAACAAGGCCATTCATCAAAATAATAGTATACTCACATCAAGGAGTCTCTCTTGTTTTGCTGGTTCATTGCGACTCCCTCAGCTGAATCGACATCCCCTTGACTGTCGCGCCCAAAGTCGTTCTCATCGTCACTGTCGTCTTCGTCGTCGTCGTCGTCAAGTGAGGATGTGATGAGTGCCATGACATCCGGGGTGGCGAATTGGGCCAGCCAGGGATTCGCAAGCAACAAGTCCTCCAGGGTTCCATCAGCGAGGGCCTCACGCAGCAAGACCACCAACGTCACCAGGTCCTCGGGATAATCGCTCATCATCTCCTCCAGTGACGAGCCTGAAGTGGCTGCTGAAGCAAGCAATCCACGTTGCTGCTGATGTTGATGCAGCTTGGCGCGCTTGAGTCTCCAATTTTCCGCTTGCCTGCGAAATCCCATCCAACTTCATCAACACCCACCTGTGCTCATACATGATAGGGTGGGTTCATAAGTTCTGAGCCATTTTAAAAATAGGTCCAAGGGAGTTTCACAAATTCCAACAATAAATCGTTACTTGCATAGCACCATCATTTGGCCTTGCTTGGGGGTGTTGTTACTCCACCCTAACTAATTTTCTTCACTGCAAATCTTCAGAATTGGATTCAAAGTCCATAAGAAGGTGCTCTATGGATATTTATGTACATATGTATCCATAGTATATTCATGTATATACATCTGATATTTATGCATATAATTTTCTGGAGTTCAACCTAATTCTCTGCCAGTTTCAATGCATTTTTTCATGCAATGAATCCAACAATCAACGCATTGACAAAAATCAGGTTCCTGTTAGTTGATTATAAATTTATGTATAAACATATGTCTGATATACTTAAGTTTATAATTTTTTGGGGGACACTTCCCTACTGTTCAACATAATTCTCTGCCAATTTCAATGCATTTTTTCATGCAATAAGTCCAACAATTGAAACAGTGACAAAAATCAAGTTCCAGTTAGTTGATTTTTTGAAGCTGCTCTTTGATGGCAGAAATGAGGCTGACCCTGTTCTCAAAAGCAATTCCTTTCAGGTATTTCTTCACTTTTGTGAGCAGCCAGAAAGTAACAGGGTGCCCAATCAAAAAACATAACTCAATTTTTGGCACTGTTTTGATCATTGTATTCATCTCTTGAAAAAATCCATTGAAATCTGCAGAGAGTATGTTGAACAGAACTGAACAAAGGGATGGGACTATGTGAGTATTAAAAAATATTGGAATTGATAGAACTCCATTTGAATCTATTCCATAAAAATCTCAAAACTTATGAACCGACCCTGATATATATGGTAAAATTGCCTATCATCCTGTGATGTATGGACTCTATATTTACTGAAGCTTTGGGATACATGGAATATGATATTTGGAATAAACAGCTATTTCAAGCTTAATGTGATCATACATTGATCCTATCACCTTTCACCACTTTGGGCAGTTCATGGGTATGAACCCAAGCTTCTGAGTTCTATTAGCCAGCCAGAATGTAATCAATTACTATTAGCATTTGGCGGATGATTTATAGCGGTTAAGGTCAGATCATGATTGGAAAAAGTATCATTTGAAAGGTTTTTTAATGGCCACCACCTTTGTCAGGTCCACATAAAAAAGGCAAAAAGTTCAGCAATCAGAATTTTTACACAATATAAGGACTCTACTCCTGAAAAATCAGGATGAGTTCCTTTATGTGACTGTTCAACTTTGTATGTACTCCAGTACCACATGCCTTAAAGTAAGACCAGCACCATGGGTTTTCAGTGAAAAAAAGTATCCTCAACTTCCCCAAGTATTAAGATGTGCATCCCATTTTCAGTTCCTCTAAAACTGCACAATTTCAAAAATAACAACTCCCAACTTTGAATTTAGACACATTTTTATCCTGAATTCAATTAAATTTCAATCCTTTCCATTTCAGTAGGTTTTTCTATTGAAACTGGTCCACAATTTCCCATTAGAATTAGATATATAATGCACACCTGCTGCCCTTAACTATCACCTTTTAAAATTGTAAACCCACCTGTGATGCACACTTCATTTTTCCACCAATACTCACAAACCAGGTGCATGTATAGTACTGTACTTGAGTAAATGCAGTGATTATGAAATTTACCAGCCATTTTTCACAAGATTACATGTATTACAAAAGTCTTGTTAGAACAAATAACTTTTAACAGCAAATTCATATTGGGTCTCCATCCAAAAGCCACAATGTTGTATGAGTCACTTCATGAAAAAAGCTTTTGCTGCTGTGCATGCAGACATTTTAGTCATTCACATACATTTTTTGAAACAAGATTTTAGTAATATACTACTGAATGGATTAGTTTGGGGTTGAGTAAATTAGCTCTTAATTTTCCCAATTTCCCAATTGCTTTCTTCAAAGGGAATGAGGAGTATGAGTTACAGTTTATTTGGGTGCAAGAGACATCAGGTAACATCTTATCTGCTCAATAACAGACCAAAATCACCAAACTTTGCGAAATCAGAAGAAATTCCTCACAAAGCCTCCAAAGAGGTGCTGTCAGCTTCACCAAATTCAATCTGGCAAGGTTTATAGCACAATACTTTGCAGACAGATTCAAAGGCATAACTGCATTTTGCAGCTGACAGGGCAATTTAATTTTCAATAATTTACCTTGAATCATGCATGAAACTCATGTTTCATTTAAAATATGTCTGTGGTGACTATGCAAGATAATAAGTCCATATTTTTGTTCTACTTCCGAAACTATCAGAGCATCCATTCAAATGTCAGATGTGCAAGAAACAAGCAGAAACAACGATTTTCTTCTGTGGCTGAAAAGAGGGCTTTCGCAAACCAGTTTTCCAAGGAACTGTATTGCTTCATGGAAAGTTTCGGAACTGTGAGACTTGAATGATTTTCGAATCGATGTTTTGATTGTTTAATTCATTCCTTCCTGGAAACTCTTGAAACTGTCGGAGTGGAATGAATTTCGCGCCAATGTCTCCATTGTGTACTGTGGAAGTTCGAAAATTTTCTCTGCAATCTTCCACAGAAGCAAACTTAAATCGATAAACACCGTAGAAAGGACCTATGACATTAAAAATTAATTTCGTTCAAGCATTTGAAATCTTGCCTTGGAATAACGTTGACGTTGAAATTCAAAAGGAAATTGCACCTGAGAATTAAGGAAACGATTCAGGAAAAAACTCCTGTTAGGTAAATTTTTCAAAAATTAGGGAAGCAATTTCCTCAAGGAATAATGCCAACAAAATGTTGTCTTGGGTCAAACAGATGTTGCCCGCGAACACGGAACTTAACTTGGAGCGACTAGATGTCGCCCCGAGCAACTCAGGTACAGTAAAGGCACAGCAGGTACTACATGTGACATGGCATACGACACGCCCCGTTACCCCCCGCTATTTTCGGGAGAAATTTGAACCAGAAAAGAAAAGATTCATCACACAGAAATGTCTGTGCTGAAAGAAAAATAAGTTTCTCAAGAAAACTAACAACCAGCCAGCCTTGGAAATAATGATCTCCAAAGCTCACTTCTCAAAAGGAACGAATCAACCCTGGAGTCAAAACACTTGCAGTTGAAACCTGACAGAGGAAGGAGCTCCAAGATATTTTTGTGTGCACACATATTTTATTGGAAGACCTGACTGACATAAAACAGAAGATTGAGGTATTGACCTCAGGCCCCCAAAAGGCTGATTGTGTTTACCACTTTATTTGATTTAGTGAAATCAAGCTTTGCCAGTGAGGCTCTTTAGCCCATTACAAAAGTGGTGGCCAGTAAAAAACTGAGATCAGAGTCCAGGACTGTGAAAAGGTCTTGGAAAAATCTCCAACAAGAAAATACCTTGGCAATTTCAAGAAAAAATCAGTGAAAGAGCACCAGTGAGTGTAGCAAATGTTTGCTCAAACTCTGAAAATCCTCAAGAGAAGCAGCAGGGTGTGTAGCAAATTTTTGCGAAACTCTGAAAAATCGGTGAAGAGCAGCAGTGTGTGTAGCAAAGTTTCGCAGCACTAGCAGACAACACCATGCCTTGTGGAAAATCCACGTCCTCAACAAGGGTTACCTCCCACACGCGCACAAGGACAAGTAAGCCTCCCTTGCGTTTTGGTGACCCACCAAGTGTCCAACAAAGTGAACCAAGTGCTGGAATTCCTCTGCAAACCGACCCAGAGGGTGCAAATTTGCTACCCCACGTACAACTCACAAATTTGCGAAGTTCGGATCCGTCAACAGCACCAAGGAGCGTACGACAACCCGGCAGACCGCCGCGGCAACCCGTCCTCACTCCTCCAAACCCTTCACCACCCTCATCAGTGACGGGCATCTCAACTTCAAGTACGTTGACCCAGTTCGACCCCAACCCAACAATCCAGCAGGTGGTCATTCTCGCACACGCCACGTACATCTGCAATGAGGCGTACAAGCAGAAGCAGGGTGCAGATACGTTCCAAACATTCCTGCAGCAGCACAAAACGTTCCTGACTGCATCAGCTCATTTTCTCTCCATCAAACACCACAATTTTGAGGAGGCTGAACAAAATCAGATCTTGCAAGTGTGCGAAGAGCAAGCATTGTGGAATTTTTCCGTGTTGCTGCTGGACACGAGATGACATTCACATTCCAGGTTTCGTCCAGCAGTTTGAGAAATTTTAAATCCTTCAAAATTGAGTTTGAGTCGTTGTTTGTGTGGACAAACCAATTGTGACTCCATTTTGATAAATTCTGTTCCGTGATCTTTCAGTTAAAGAACAACGAAATCAAAATATAAAGTGACGTAATAAGCGTAGTATAGATGCACATAAATTCCCATCCTTTTATCAGAAATTGCATCGTAAAAATCGACGGATATGCTTTAAAATCAAATATTTGAAAGCTTTAGAGATCCCAGCAGTTATACAGTGAGACCCAAAGATGTGGACGACATAATTGGTGCATCAAGAGTGTCCCTAAGTAAAAATGTCACAGAGTTGAGTCTCATTTTCCCTTTGACTTACATTATCTAATTTTTAATTGATGTTTTATTAACAAAATATCATAATTTTATGAAAATAAAAATTTTCTCCCAATTTAAACTGGTTTAATCAATATATTTCAACGCAATATGGACATTTGGGAAATTGAATATACTGTTACCTCTGTACAGTACATAGAAATGTTGGCATTCAGACATTTTTTTTTATTATAAGTTCACTTTTTCTATCTTCCTTCAGGGAGCAGATACGTACTCCATTAAAAAATTTAATCGATGTACCTACTATGCAACCACTCTCTTTACGGGTTCTTGAAAAGAGACATCAATTTTAGGGTTGGAAATATATGTTTCTTGTAATTTGGCCTAAAATGTACAGTATTTGCAATTTTATCACAAAATGTCCCTATATTGAGTCAGTGTTCTCATGTTAGGCCTTTTCCATTAATTTTTATGGGAAAATAAGTGTACACATGTCAAATTCTCCACATGTCAAGGTGTCCACCTGTGTTCAATTTTTCGAAAAATATATACATGGTGTATCGTGTATATGAGATGAGAAATTACCTTCTGAAAAAGTTTAAGCGTTTCCCTGGACGAACAGCAAACGAATATTGTCAGTTTCTGCTGGAATCCCCAGCTTGTGTCCATCAAGGCAGAAAGAAAAACGTCTTGCTCGCATTCCAAGAAAAGTATAGGTTTTTCGAAATCTGCACGCATCCGAAATGAAGAAACGCTGAATTTTAAAAATGCAATGGTGAATCTGATTCGATTTGAAGAACCTGAATTTCTACAGGAATCAGAAGAAATGACGAGATCAGGTTTGAGAGCGTGCGTGAATTTCTCGAACCTTCTGCGATCGGCTGTATTTCTAAACTTCGGAAACCCTGAGAATAAATTAAGCAATTTTTTTTTTTTACTTTTGCAAGATAATCTCGAAGACAGCGGAAAATTTAATTTCTTGGATAACTCACCAAACACGAATGAAATCAGATTGAATTGCTCGGAAATCAAAATAAGCACAGTTAACGACGTCCTTGCGCCGAGGTTCATTTTCTTGAGAGCACTACAGAAAAACTTGTCGCTTTTTACGGCCATCATCGAAAACACATTTATATCAGGTCAATTGATGGTCACTTTGTCGCAACTGAAAAGCTATTATGAAATTGAACGTGGTTGTCATATTTTCCAAATTGTAAAAATAAATACGGTAGTAATGCATTGTCGAGCGTAAATAATTGTACTGGATTCGATTGTTCGATGACTCGATTTCATATACACGAAGGGACTTCTCAGAAAATTGTTTGCAAACAAAATATTCATTCCTTTGTCCCCAGGAAGCAATTTTAAATTCCCTGGAGGCATTTTCATAGCCCTCCTCGTGAGTAATGCTTGATCATTTGAAAAAATTATACCTAAAAATGTCATACAATATATAGGCACTTGTATTATTCTCATAATTCAGCTTAATTTTTCGCCTGCCCCAAGCTCTCCGAACATATTCTCCCATCGACCCAGGCGATCCGATAAACGTCAATTCCTACTCAGTGCTTAATTTATTTCATTTGATTGTTTTTGAATGCAGGAAGGAGTAACAGGTCTGATGAGTATATTGGCCACAAACGAATGACAGTGTCAACCTTTCCAACAACAGCACTTGAGATGATTATAGGCGCAAGGGGAGGTTTTCAATTGAATTAAAATACTGTATTTAAAAAGTATGGAGCTATAGACAATATATTTTCTCTGTCTTTTGAAGAAATTGATTATGAATCAGTGTGGAATAATGTGAAGTAATGTTTCCTCCTTATTGTGACAACAATCAAGATGAAAAATATTGTCATGTTTTTGGAGGTATGGGTGTCCCGGGTCAAACAGATGTCGCCCGCAAACACGGAACTTAACTCAGAGCGACTAGATGTCGCCCCGAGCAACTCGGGTACAGTAAAGGCACAGCAGGTACTACATGTGACATGGCGTACGACACGCCCCGTTACCCCCCGCTATTTTCGGGAGAAATTTGAACCAGAAAGGAAAAGATTTTAGTGTGTCTTTACAGACACGACTTTCTTTTTATTCAAAGAGTTCTTTTGATTGTTGGTCGGTCGGAACCTTTATTACTAGAGGTTTCGAGTGAAGAGTTTTCCTTGCTTAGTTGGGACCTCAGTTTGGAACCTAACTGGACCTTTTCCAAAAAAGGATTACTCACATGAGGAAAGCCTTGACAAAACTTTCCACTGACTGAGGACAAGAAGCTGTGCAGAATCAAGGAAGAGAGAGGGGTGAACGTCAACTTTGGACTGTCTCCTTCCTCGAGGTTCTATAAAAACACACGTGTGTATAAAATAACCTTCTGGACTGACTGTATTTTGTCTTCTAACTCCATAACTGGAGTCCGGGGGTTTTCCGCAATTGTGTTTACCACTTTATTTGATTTAGTGAAATCAAGCTTTGCCAGTAAGGCTCTTTAGCCCCTGACAAAAGTGGTGGCCAGTAAAAAACTGAGATCAGAGTCCAGGACTGTGAAAAGGTCTTGGAAAAATCTCCAACAAGAAAATACCTTGGCAATTTCAAAAAAAAATCAGTGAAAGAGCACCAGTGAGTGTAGCGAATTTTCGCTCAAACTCTGAAAAATCGGTGAAGAGCAGCAGTGTGTCTAGCAAAATTTCGCGAAACATTGGAAAAATCCGTGAAGAAGCAGCAGGGTGTGTAGCAAATTTTTGCAAAACTCTGAAAAATCGATGAAGAGCAGCAGTGTGTGTAGCAAAGTTTCGCAGCACTAGCAGACAACACCATGCCTCGTGGAAAATCCACGTCCTCAACAAGGGGTTACCTCCCACACGCACACAAGGACAAGTAAGCCTCCCTCGCGTTTTGGTGACCCACGAAGTATCCAACAAAGTGACCCAAGTGCTGGAATTCCTCTGCAAACTGACCCAGAGGGTGCAAATTTGCTACCCCACGTACAACTCACAAATTTGCAAAGTTCGGATCCGTCAACAGCACCAAGGAGCATATGACGACCCGGCAGACCGCCGCGGCAACCCGTCCTTGCTCCTCCAAACCCTTCACCACCCTCATCAGTGACGGGCATCTCAACTTCAAGTACGTTGACCCAGTTTGACCCCAACCCAATAATCCAGCAGGTGGTCATTCTCGCACACGCCACGTACATCTGCAATGAGGCGTACAAGCAGAAGCAGGGTGCGGATACGTTCCAAACATTCCTGCAGCAGCACAAAACGTTCCTGACTGCATCAGCTCATTTTCTCTCCATCAAACACCACAATTTTGAGGAGGCTGAACAAAATCAGATCTTGCAAGTGTGCGTTCTCGACTTACGATAGTAGGAGTTCTGTGGCCTTGTTGATGTTTGTTTGACCGATGTTGATGCAGGATTTGTTCCTACATAAAACCCGCACGTTAAAAGACGTGGTGGAACACGTGACCCAGCTCCAGGCGTATTTACACCCTTGGAGAAGGATGCACCGGTTAACATATCTGCAAGTATGCAGCTGGAAATTGTTCGATTGGACGGTGGGGTTTGTGGCGATGTCCTCGATGACCTTTAATTACTACTTCGTCTGGGAATGCAGTAACGTAACGTTAGTATGCGTAGTCGGGTCGTATACGGAGTTGGACGTGGATTAAAACAACGGGATCTTGAGAAGAAGACAGTACTCCCATCATTCAAGCGCTTCAGCGGAAAACCCTCAAACAAATTCACCTTTGACCGTTTTTAGTCCAATTTTCTTCCCATCCACATCATACCAACAAAATACATCATGCCATCTCAACGCATCTCCCTACTCCTGCAATATCTTGATGGGAAGGCAAACAATCTTGTGGATTGCCAACCAAAGAAAACGGAAGAGGCTGACTATTGCCGCATACTCAAAATCCTCATCAAGGAATATGGCAACATCCAGGCCACACGCCAATACATCTTCAAAACATTTGACAACCTTAAACTGGATAGTGATTCGGCAGAAGACATGGCCAACTACATGGAAAAAGTGATTGACATCACCACTCAGCTGGACAACCTAGCCTCCAATATGCCTCAAGTCCACATTCGTCTTTGGCCAACTATCAAGTTTCACCTCCAAAAAGGCGCACACTACAACAACGTTCAACATGAGCTACGCCTCAATCCGCCTCACAAGGCCTCTGAGTTGGATACATGGGCAAGTACACCTGCCAACCAATATAGATGGATTCGTGAATTCCTCAAAACAATGGCTCCGCCAGATGAAGTGACATCTATGGCGCTCACGTTCCATGCTACATCCTCATCCAAGCCTGCACAAGATTCTGAAACGGACACCAAAGCCACGTCCAAAAACATACCACGAGAGTCTCGCCCCCGAAAAAGGAACTGGGAGGATTCAGCCAGCCCGCAGCATGTGAAACAATCACATCATGCACAAAATCGAGACCAACGTCGACAAACGTCAGGACGTCGCAGTCGCTCCCCTACACCTCAAAAATCAAAATACGACGATTGCCTTCCTCGGAGCTCTCAACGGTTCTCCAGCTACAAATGAAATCGATACAACAACCCGGACTCTTGCAGAACCCAGGACTACAAATCTGGCTGCCCATTCTGCCACGGCTCCCATTCCCCCTTCCTGTGCAGACTTAGCGTCCAAGAACGCTCAACCGCCGTCCGCTTCAACAACCTGTGCTAAAATTGCCTCAGTCCACAACATAGCATCGCACAGTGCCCCAACCCATGGACATGCCGGAACTGCAACTTCCGCCATCATTCATCCATCTGCTTCAGATCCCAAAACAAAGGATCACAAGGGAACAACTTTGGGAATAGTGCTTCCAATCGAAACTCTTCCCAAGTCAACAGCAACCAAGGCAATATAACTTCAACAACAACAGAAATCAGAACAACTATGGAAGAAGTAACAATTCCTGGAGCAATAACAATCCAACAAACCGCAACTACAACTACCAGTGAAACAATAACGGCCCTCAACAAAACAGCCGAAGGGATGTCCAAGATCCTCGAAATTTTGCCTCCATATTACAAACAATTTCGGACCGCCTACTGCTCCAACCAGCACCAGTCCTAGCAATTGCAGCACCTTCAGCCATTGCAAACCCGGCATGACTAGTCCGGGTTAGTGCCGCAACAAGTTCTGTGGCATACTCACTCTTGGAAACAGCAACTATCAAACTACAACCAAATGATGTCGAGGTCCATGCGTTACTTGACACAGGATCACAGTTAACCCTGGTCACGCAGGCCCTTGTAAACCGTCTTCAATTACCTATACTGCAATCAGCCATGGCCCACACCATTGCAGGCATTGGCAATGCCCGTTTGAAGTCAACAACATTGGTAAAGCTGCATTTGCAGCACCGGAGCAAAACAACGTTCAATTTGGAAACAACAGCTGTCATCGTCCCGTTGCAAGAATCCTGGGGGGCCACAAACCCCCATACGCTCTCACAACTACAAGACTTCAAACATTCCCTTGCGGATCCACGCCTCCTCACGAATACACAAATCACATTTGATATTGTGCTGGGGGGCAAAGACCTGGTGTCCATATACAAACATAACCAGGATCCGTATTGGTCGCACTCCTCCTTCAGCGTAGTGCCATCTGAGTTTGGGCTAATTGCTCGCGGCCATTGGGACAATCCTCATCCGCCTATTATGGGAAGACCATCAGCCCATGCAGTCTTTGGCCAACCAACAAAATACCAGGATGAAGAACTAACCAATTTGACCATTGACTTCCTCAAGCAGGATCAAGTCAACATACTCGGTGATGGCACTGACGAGACTCCGTATGAAACGGATCAATACAAGCAATATCTCCAACAAATCACCATCAGTGAAGAAGGGAGAGTAGTGGCTCCCCTTCTCAAATCCTACCTATATCCAAAAGACTGTCAGCCTAACTCAATCATGGCTGCAATCCGAAGCAAATCAGTCATCCGCCAATTGGAAAAAGGTGGACCTCTTGCAGAAGCGTACAAGGATCTTTTCACTCAATGGATACGAGACGGCGTCATTGCGCATACCACCCTTGCTGAAATGAACAATCATGGAACCGCTTACACAGAGCTGCCACATCATGGCGTAGCGCGTCCAGAAAGTGCATCAACACCTCTCAGGGTTGTCATGGCAGGCAATGCCAGTGACCCAAACTGTTACTCCTGCAATCAGCTATTCATCCAAGGACCAAATCTACTTCCGGAAATCACTAACATCTTGCTACGATGGAGATTCCACACGCATTTTGGCGTTGGAGACATCCATAAGGCCTTCATCCAAGTTCAGCTAGCACCAGAAGACCAATGGGTCCTTCTCATACGGTGGCCTGAACGTCAGCCGAACGGAACTTACGTTCCCAAATTCTACCGCTTTCTCCGCCTCCCATGGGGAATCAACTGTGCACCATTTATCCTGAATGCAGCAGTACGTTATCTATATCAGCAAGCGGTCCAAAAGAACATACTAACAGCAGCGGAACAGGAAGATCTCAAGCACAACACTTATGTGGATGATATCCTCATCTTTGGAGAAACGCCAAGTGAAGTCCAAAACAAAATGACCAAAACCAAGACAGCACTGGCGCTAGGAGCCTTTGAACTTACCAAAATCCGAATTGCACCACTCCAACCGGAAGAAGCCGAATCCACTTCACCATACAAAGTCTTAGGCGTCAATTATGACCCCACAACAGACCTCATCCTAACGGCACCACTATCCTTGCAATCATTCCTGGATCGCAAATACCTCACCCTGAGACATATTACGGGGTTTGAAGCACGCCTGTTTGACATCCTTGGAATGCTTACTCCATTTACAACTTCAATCAAAATCCTTCGACAAGATTTTCATGACGTTCATCCAAATGTACCGTGGGACACAAAACTTACCCCAGATGAATATCAAGCATGGAAAGATGTGGCGCAACAAGCATTGGCTTGTGCTGATCTGTGTATGGCACGATTGGCCACAACAACACCAAAAGAACCTGGGGATATACATATCTTTGCGGATGCAAGCAAGAGAGCCATTGGAGCAGTTGTCTACTTCACCACACGTCAACCGACACCAGTGACAACGCTCATTTGGGCGAAGTCCAAACTGGTCCCCAAGAAACAACGTGAGAAGCCCAAGAAGCAACCTGAATCAACAAGGATCAATCGCTTGGAACTCTCTGCCGCATGCCTGGCAGCACGCATGCTTGCTATTTTGAAACATGCTACCAACATTGACATACATACCGTCCACTTCTGGACAGACTCCACCGTCACCCTCAATTGGATCAACAAACAGGAAACCAAACCAACCAAATATGTGACAACCAGAATCCAGAAGATACTGGAGGTATCTGTCCCAGCCGATTGGAAACATATTCCCGGAGAAGTCAACCCCGCAGACTTAGCGTCCCGCGGCTGTGACATTGAAACCCTTCGAGCCTCCACATTATGGTGGAATGGCCCAACATGGCTACCAATCAAAAGCCTGTGGCCAGAACAACCCCTAACAACCATGACAGCTGCAGTTGCAGGGGGGCCGCCTGAGGCCAAATTGGAATTTCTACGTCAAAAAGAAACCATCAACAACCTGTTCAAACATGCCAGAACATGGGGCAAAGTGACAAACATCATTGCAACCCTACATTGCCTACAAACCATTGCAAAAGCGCCATCACAAAGACCTGCATCTCCAAAAGCCAAACGGGGCATTTACCCCAAGGTGACAATCAAACCATTCACACCGGAGGAAATGGAAACAGCCCACCAAGAGGGTCTGCGGATAATGCAACAATACTACGACAACAAGAAATGGAAAATCTTGAAATCCGGCAACGCAATACCGAACAGACCAGACCTACAATGGAATCCGCAACAGAGAATGATTATCTCCATCAGTCGACAGGCCTTTGACATCATAGGGGAAACCCCTGAACAAACAAAAAAGACACTCATCCATCTGCCAATCCCAAGGAACAAACAACCATCTCACTCCTCCGGGCCTTCATCCATTCTCAACACATCATCAACAAGCATTCATCCACAGCATATACGCAGCAAGAAATCAACAAAACATATTGGCTTCAAGGAGGGTGTAAACTTATCTGCGACACCATTCAACAATGCAACTGGTGCAAACGCTTCAACAACTTACCATACTTA